TGCCAGCCTCTCTGGAGCTGCTGAGTTGCAGAGGACTTCAAGGGCTTTGCACTGCTGAGCTCCATGAGCTCCATATCTTTTTCTCCCTGCTTCCCCCCACCTCTTCCTCTCTGTGTCTCTCTGACTCTTCCTCGCCCATGCTCTAAGGAGCTTTAGAAACCCGACTGGGTAATGGGAGCAGCAGTCAATCAAATTGCAGTTTCAAAGGTGATGCTTTGTTTCACGCTCGCTTCCCACAAATCCCATCGAGCCTGGCACCTGTCAGGTTGTCGTTCTGAAACGCGGCATCCAACGCCAGTCACCCAAACCCCATGGTCCCTCAGCAGATGGAGGGGTTGACTTGTCAGCTGCCTGTCGAGAAATGAGGTCATTCTATTTTGCTAGGTCTACTTTTTTATAAGGTGAATAAGAAAACACTTTGTTCAGGGGTTTGCATTTGGCTCACTTTCACGTAAACTCACTAATAGAGCAGAATTCAAGCTACAGGTTTTAGGGTGAAAAGGATATTTACGTTTTCTTTATATGAGATTTGAACAAAATTGACCGTGAAAAAATCCTGTATTTCTATTGGTGCCCTTCAGTTTTACAGAGTCTGACAGCATTGTCAAAACACCACTGGTGCTGCCAGCTCTAATAACGTGGAGGCTGGTAATAAATTGTCAAATGAGCTCTTGTTGTACCGTGATCCCGTAGAGGAACAGTAAAACCCGATACGGCAGAATGGGCAGGATCTCTGGACGCCCACAGCAACCAGGGGTCCTTGTATCTCCATGGGTTTATAGGCTCAGGTCTGACTCATTCCAGCTTTACAGTCACAGTGACCTTCCCATTAGGGCTCCATTACCAAAGGTCTATCAGAGAGAGAGGCGTATACCCAGGCTATTTATCCAGCTGCAGCCTCTTCTTATTAACTGTAGTGGATAAACAAGAGTGCAGCTTTGAAAGCCTTGGCGAGTCATGGGTGAATGCCTTTATTATGGCATAAAATGAATACACATGTGTATAAACACATGAAGCATAAAAAGAGTCCAAGATGCAAAACTATAATGTAGAGTATCCGGCAATTGCAGGCATGTGGACCCCACCTCCTTGAAAAAAGGAGCACCCCCTCCAAATCAACCAAAGGGCCCCTAAGTGTCTCTAATTAGTTGACTGGATCTAAAGAACCTTCTTCCATTTGACTAAAATGCTGTGTTGTAATGACAGCACCGAGGGGTGTAGAGTAAACAAACTGATGGGAACTTAGAGTCCTGGGTACACCAGCATTGTTTGATGTCTTTCCAGCTATGTGAATGTTTGACAAGGTGGCTTTTAGATACTGATTAGTTTGAGTGTAGTCATCCTCCAACACACACTGCCCCTGTTCAGCATTTGGCATGTTTTTTCCAGGCAATGACCAAAAAATAAAGGAAGGCTGTGAGCTAATTCCAATTCAATTTACTTCCATTTACTTCCATCTACTACCCTGGAACCAATTTTACAAGGTAAGATTTGTGCAGTTGGGCCATGTTTCTAGGGGTCATATGATAATCAGGATATGGCTTGCACCATGGTAATATCACCATACAATATTTTCTGATGTAGGAGATATTGGCAGCTAGCAAACAAGAGTGCTGGGTTTGCTTTGTTTTTGTGTATATATGTATATTCTATACATGGCCTTTTTTAAAACATACAACAAAAACAAACAAATCTTTCTTCTCTGTACCACTTGAACGACTTGAATCTCAAACTTCTTTTGGAATTATTTTATTTGTTGAACTGATGCACTGATACAGACTTTCCATTACAGTCAGCCAGCACTGGCAATCAAAATAAATCAGGTTATAGGCAGTGTGAGTTTTTTTAAATAAATGTATTAGATTTTGCTTGTGGTGTTAAAGTTCTTTCAGGTGTATTACAAGCTGCTTGCTCACTGTCAGATGTCTGACCATGGGACTCAACTCTGCTAGAAAATAACTCAAATATCCATGTAAAATAGGATCTTTAATCTGCCCCTTTGATCAGAGTGTGTTTCCCCAGGGCCCACCTCAGAAGGTAGTAACAGTATCCACATCAGGGTTAAATGCTACTCAGGCTTCTCTTTCATACTGAAGACTGACTGACAGCCAGGAATGAGCAGGCTGCCCTGAACAATCCTCATCTACTTCCTTTTTCCTGACCTTCAAACAGGAAATTTGTGTTATCTCTACAGCTACAAGTAGCAGTGGCAGGATTAGAAAGTGAAGAAATAGTAAGTCAAACTGGATCTAAATGGCGAAAGAAAAGTTCAGAATCCAATTTTTCTGTCTTGATACATGAAACAGTCAGAAGTGATTGCAAATTCTGTTGTGTTGGCGGTTTTTATTTGACAATGAAAGTTCCATTAAGTTTAATTTAGAAATGCAAATTACTGTTTACGTTTGTTATGATAGGCAAGTGACGGGAGTCTTGAATCTGAATGTGTTTCAAGCTCCTTTTTTGCAAATTGTAAATAGAAAGCCTCTGAGCTAAATAAGAACCAGTGCATATTATATCTCAAAGACAGCAAGACAAATATTACAGGCATACAGCCGGGCTGGCATACACAAGATATGCAAAGCAGCTGGAGGTGCAAAACAAAAATGCAGTGTTGAACATGCAGCACATATTTCAAATCAAATCACAACACTCACGACAGCTAATCCCGTGCCTGCAAATAAAACTCCATACTGCACTATCAATACCTAAGGCTCAGACCCCAAACTAAATATAAGCTTGTATTTATAATTAACATGCAACACTAAGCTTTTTATGCTGAAATAATAAACCTGTGAAGGTGAGAATTCACTATTTCCAAGAAACTGCTAAAACAAGAGAGCAGGAAGGAGAAGATAATCCAGGTTCTTTTCATGTTGTTTGTTTTGAAACCGATACATTTCAGAGACAACCTAATAAATAGTCAAATGTGTTCTTTTTCCAGTATAAAACGATATTATTCCAATTTGTAAGACAAAAAACAGAAATATGGAACAGCTTTCTGATGGAAATTTGGCTAAATGTGAATAAACCTAAGTGACCAAAACAATTAGAATTTTTTTTTTAAAGTCCTATCTTAGTAACAATGCATGTTTACAGTCAGACCCCTAATGCAGGAGGTACTTTGCATAACTCTTTTTTTCTCTTTATTTTTCTGTGAGAGCTACTAAGCAGATTGCTATTAATATTTCCTCTGGCAATGAAGGAGACTAAAAAGAGACTAACCACTCACAGGGTTGTCTTATGTTAAGGCTTTTATACTATATCCCTGCACACAGCATATTGATATTCCTACTGAGAATCAATAGCATCATGTCTATCACTCACCAACATCTTGGAGTCTTGTGATCTGAATACACAGGCTCATTGAACACCATTCAAGCATTGTCTTCTTTCTTTCAACTAGCTTCCAGGCTTATCATCAACTTCTGCTTCGGAAGTGGGACAGTTTACAGTAGATAGCTGCTATGACACAGCAAGGCTATCCTGAGGAAACATGCGGAGGTAACCTTCACTCTAGACATATGGATCGGTGGCCTTCACTAAGCCCCCGGATGTATTGGCACATGGATTTAGCCAGCTATCATAGGGGCCAGATAACCTTGTCATATCTACTCTGACTGTCATGGGGTGGTGTTACAGGATGGAGATTCTACCCCCGTAAATCCTCTTAAAAAACTTACACATACTCACACAGAGGCGCTCTGTATTGGTCACACACAGTAACACGTGCACCCCACCCCACCTGAACCTAGCAGTGAAAGGTCACAAGCCCCCAAGTGACAGCTGTCAATCACAGGAGGTGGGTATTATCCGATCCATTAATAACACCCTGAAAGGTTCTGGGAGACCGTGGGGACAAAAAATCTCCAGACTTGTCACCACTGGATATGACCTGCAGGAAATCTGTAGCCCTCATAACACCTCCGATTCGGCATAGGCATTAAAGCAAAAATAAATACAAGTATTGGCTGTAAAAGCTTGGATTTTTTAAAAACAAGATGTACAGCTTACTATAGATAAATAAAAATATAAGAAAGATAAAATCACACTGTTGATGTGGCTAAGAGATTGTAGGCATCTTAATATTGCTTTATCCATTTTAAAATCAAAATTTCTTGTTGACGATTTTCAATGGCAGACACTGGTTCGCTGCATTTGCTAACCTTGAATTGATTCAGGTTTTGTGGATTTTTAGTTGGACTTTGTTGAGGATGCAACATTGTATGAAAGGCTCTGTTAAGTGGAAAGAAAGCTCTTTTGGGCCTTTGGGGAATAATGTAACTAGCTAAGTCACTTTCACTCACAACATAAGAAACTATGGATACTTTCCCATTGGAGCTAAAAAAAGTGAATAACTAGATAAATAAAAACAGGTGGTAACTCTACATGGGCCTTTTGGCAATAGGCTATCAACACAGTAATATGAAACCAAAACGCTGCATGGTATTGTAGTCACATCAAATATTCGTGTTGACATGGAGGTTATGAGCGATACAGCCCCCCAGCGACAACAAGGTGAACTCACATGCAGTGTGACTCTTTGAAAAAGGTGTGTGACAGGCCAGGGAGGATTACCTGTGATCCAAGGATAATGAAAAAAAAGGCTGCCTCATATTAAATTCTAACACATGAACAATTACTGATATGCTCTTGTTGTTTTACCTTGCCTGGTGATTCTGCCTGCTTGCACGGGGCAATGCCTTGAGGGACGAGTCAGTGATAAAATACTGTGTGAAATTCATTGTTTTTCTGTGGATGTGTCACCCATGACAACTAAAAGTTAACAAATACAATCACAGCACTGCTTATACATTATAGATGAGGTGTAGATGAATGAAATTGTTGCACAGCATAAGCACAAGGCACAAAGTTAGTTAGTGTCGTTTGAATGAATGAGAGAGGTAGAAGCACACTGTTGAGCCTTGAGTATTGTGGATGTGTGTGTTGACTCAACAGCCTTGCAACGACTGCATATGGATTATTTTTTGGGCGCCCCCTACCTGTCTGGAGCTGCAGGGCGTCCATTGCGCGGCTTGTTGACCTGAGCATACAGAGCTTCCAGGGGTGGACCATTGTCTGGAAGGCTCATGGGAAGGTGAGGACTCTGGGGACTCTGAGGAAGATGGTAGTGGTGATTGTAAGGGTCCATGCTGCTACTATCCACCGACGAGTCCAATGATTCGATGCCAGCGTAGGTGTGTTCCTCATCTGAGCTGAACGTGCGGCTGACAACGTCTTGGATCTCAGCATATTCCCTCTCCTTTGCCTGCCTCTCCCGAAGCTCCCGCGTCTTGGCCTGTATCCTGCGCACACATTGAAGAGAAAAAGTGTGATATGTCTATTTAGTTTATAAATCATCTAGCAAAATTGGGACAAAATATTTTTAAACCCTTTAAATTTCTAAGAGCCTACATGACCCTTTGACCTGGTCATTGTAAACCATACACAACCTGTTAAAATGGCTATTATATGCATGCATTACATGTGTTTGTTTGTGAATACTAAAGATACCTAGAAAGAGAAACTAGGATATACTTTATGGTATGAGGTAATGAGTGGCAAGTGCATAAGAAATGGGCCGTAAGGAGGCAGCACAGGATAAAGAGAGAAAAAACACTATAATATCCTGTCAAGGATTCAGAGAGGCTTAGAGATGCATTATAACGTTTAAGTTTCATCTCAGATATTGATCAGTCCAGACCTGAGGAAGACCTCCTCAAACTTTGAAAGTGGCTTTCTTTTCCTAAGTAACATGGAAGGAGGATAAAGAAAAATGCTTTCTGCTTCATTGAAAGAAGCCAAGCTGTATTGAAAAATATGGCTTTTCTTGAGCCATTACAGGACCAATACGAGTGTACTGATCTTATGCCTCAGGTCCTCTAACAAGACAAGGTGAGAAGAAAACAGTCAGACCTCGTCTTCCTCCTTACCGCCCCTTCCTCTCCCTCCATGCTGTTCCACTCCGCAGGACCACTTCCACAACAGAGTCTTTCACAGGGCCTTTCCTGACTCAGAGAATGGTTCCATGTGAATGCCCATCTGTCCACAGCTAACAAGACTCAGTCATGGTGCTGCATAGGACCAGGGAGAGCTGGCATTTTAGAAGCGGGGAAGTGGACAGTGGGGAGTAGAGAGGAGAAGGGCTGAGGAAAGGAGGATGGGAGGAGTTGACCTCCCAGTGCGGTGACCCTGGCAGCAGTCACCAGACTGCTCACTGGTTCCAGATGTTGTATCCCTGCTGTAGGGTAACACACGCATACAAGCACGCTACCTCCCACTGCTGCTAGACTTCCCTATTACCTCAGGTCATAACTGACCTCTGACCCCCCACCGCTGCTCCTCACAGATGATTGACAGGTTTGGAACAGAGCTAGAATCCCCCCTAGCCTAACTCTCTCTTCCATGTCTGTGTATTTTAATAACAGTAATCACATTTCAAACAATCACCATTTTTCAGTGCCGGATTAACCCAATTCCCACATCCTACTCATAGACTGCCTTGTTTATTTTTAGCCGTCCAAAATCCCATTTTCTCAGCATTATCTGCTGAATGAGATTTTGATGGAGGCCTGATGCAATGTTGCATGATATGCAGTCATTTATAAAGCCTCTAAGCTGGTTTGGTGTATTTTTGCATTGTCGCGGACCAGGTACAATATGACAATTATCACCTCACAGCACAGTGGCGTGCACACAGTGTGGTCTCACTTAAGCTTGCTCTGTCAGGAAATAGAAAACAAGCGTCACATTGAGAAAGACACTAATTCCCAGAAGCCCTTTCACCTGCCATCTGGCTAAAGTGATGTCAGATCTCTGCCAGGAAGGACCAGACAATGATGTTACCACAGGTTCACGGAAGTCCGCTGGGATCTCAAGACCCTCTGGCGTTTTATGGACTAATCAGATTCATAAAAACGGCAATATTGACATTTAGGACGAGATAATGGCCTTGGCTAGACTGGCGACATGAGGCTAAAAGATAGAGACTTCTCTTCCAGGCCTCGGGAGTCTGACATGGATAAAGCTAATAGGTGCACTTCAATAAAAGGATATTAACAAGCAAAAATACCAAAGATGTGAGTCATAAATGCTGTCATTAGCGTCATTACCATCTGGTCCATCTTGTGCTGTAACTTTGTTGCTTTTATAGACTCATCAACTTTCATAATAAGCTTTTGTTTCAATTCTTCACAACACTTGACATTTTTCAGAAGAGAAGTCAAGGCTCTTTTTCTTGGACAAAGATGTATTGGTCCGTGTGTTTGTGGAGAAAACATGTCTACAATCCAAACCTGTCAGTCTACAGTGAGAGGCCTATTCCAACTTGTTCTGACTGTCAGACAGAAAAGCTGGACCTTCATACGGTGTTAAGTTTCCATTCTTGGCCAGTTGGCAGTGTGTCTCTCTGTGGCAAGCTGAGATTTGATTGCTACATTCCTAAGTGCATATTTTTGCTCTATGTCCTATTGATGTGTCAAGAATGAAACTACAAGTAATTTAGCAACCCTGGCACCTAAAAATTACATTCCAATGCATCTGATTTGCATCAGAAAATGTGTTTTGTAGAAAATGCCACCCAAATTACATTTTAGGCATGCTAGTGGCAAGGCTCTGAGGATGGCAATGCTGGTCTGTTTATCAGTCTTTTGGTCCAACACCTCGGTCCAGACGGAAATATCTCAAAATCTATTGGATGGATTGCCATGAAATTTGGTACCCACATTCGTGATCCCCCAGACAATGAATCTTACTGATTGGTGAGTAAGATTTGGTGATCCTATGACCTTTATAAACATCAAACACCACGAGCAGGTGTGTGTTGGAATTTTCAAATGATTCACTTATGAATCCTAAAAATGTCATCTAGTGCCACCGGTCTTGGCAACTTTTGGGTGGATACAGATATTCATGTTCCCCTTAGGATGGACTGTAATAACCTTTTTCATCCTTTTCATTGAGTGATTTTTACTTGTTCAATACTTTGGTTTGTGACCAAACCTGCAGAACTAATGACATTGCTATTACCCTCAGCTATACTTTGACTCTCTCAAACTCTGACTTAAGGTACAAGGTGCAATGGATGTTTTTCCTAATTATTAAAAATCATGAACGGTAACCGACTTTTAGTAGCCTAAATTTAACACTGAGGTTCAGAAAAACAACAAGAAAATGAGTGGTGTATAAATGCATTTTGTAGGAAACAGAGTGCCAATTTGGAAGCCATTTTTCTGCTCAGTAATATGCTCATTAGCTCCAAACCTTACTCTACATCCACACCTGCAAACTGCGTTCTTCTTGGACAACCTGCAACTGCTCCACTTCCAACTCCTCTCCTTCCCCCCACTTTCTCCTGAGAGACCACCCCCGCGCTGTACCATATATACTCCATTAGCCAATTAATGGCCCAGCATGTTAACACTGAGGAAAGTGCTGCCCACACTAAACACATTATTACTGTACAGCCCCAATTACCAAGCCTTCTCCGCTCTTCTCCTCTAACCAGATAGTATGTTTGAGAGGAGAGGACACTGTAGCTTTTAACGCAACAAGCCCGGGGAGATTTTATTTCAAAAAGGGGACAATTGAGCTGTAAGGCTTCATCGCAGCCCCACTGTGGATTTTAATTTTAATTACACTGATGACAGAAAAAAAAATAATTCCAGTATTACCTCAGTAATTGCTTGGTTTCTTTTGTGTCTCCATATGTTGTCTGTGTTTTACTCTATATTCTTATAAGTACTGACCCCACATGTACTTCTAAATCAAATGCAACGTTTACTTACTTGTTCTTCATAACAGTGCAGTGGAAAGGCATTTCCTCCTGGCTAACAGACAGTCTAGACAGCCTAATGCTGAGGCTTTCAGGGCAGTTGAAGTTCAACCCCTAATCTACTCACTGACCATGTCATCAACAAAATTATGTGTCAGCCAGATGACATTATTCCTCCTTTAACATCCCCTCCTTTCAACTTTTTTTGTTCTCCCTGTTTTTTTCTTGCCATTCATTGTCACTAAATTGGGTCTGAATACCACACCTTCACTTCATCTAAAACTGAGTTTGTAATGATACTGTTGCTTAAGCTTCATTTCAGCGAATAAATGTGAAAGCGGAGAACTCTCAAGTCAAGTAATTACTTTAACACATTATTATTGGTAGATTGAGAGGCCTGGTGTGAACTGGTGGCAACATGTCAGCTCACCTTAAGTCCTTCCTCTCCACACTGAATAAATCTCACTGTTTATCCAACAGGGCTATTTTTTTGGACCAACAAAGCCAGCAGACTCTTTCTCCATATGTTTGTCAATGTGTAATCTACCCAAGGGAGGAGGGGGGGAGAGATGAAGGGGAAGGGGGGGGGGTTCTGTCTGTACTCTCAGACACTCATTTTGAAGTCAACACACTTAGAAGCTTGAAAGCTTGCCTCTTCAATATGCATTGTTACCATGGTGGATGAAACAGAATGTATTTGCTCTCTTACTTTTTCATCCAGCTGCCTTGAATAGATTTTTCTTTTCAATAAACCCCTCACCAAAACATGTTCTATTGTTCTGAAGTGCAGATGGAGGGCAGAATGTATCTGAATCTAATCAAAGTGCAGTAAATGAGTCTGTGTGCAGCTGTCTGTGCAGAATCGCAAACCTCCGATAGCCCGTCTTTTGTGTTGACACTTGGCCCATAACAGCATAATGCAATCACAGAGATAATTGTCCAAGTTTTCTTAGTGTTAATTCACAGTGTAACAATCGCATTAACTTGCTGTAGGTATCAATATAATTACAAATGTAATCACTTTTCCCAATCAGCCAGTTGGAGCTTCCTTTGAACTCACTATGCAAATGAGACTCGAATAGGATACTAAAATAATGAGATGGTTTGACAAAGTGTAATGATAACGTAGTGTCCACAATCACTGTGACGAAAAAACAGAAAAGCATCTGCCTTAGAGCAAATCACGTCTGTTTTTTTTACAGTGGCACTGTACCCTGAACATGGTAAATGGACGTGGAACTTCTCTTTTGTTAAATGAAAGACACCTAATCCATGCAGGTTTGTCAAAAGGGAATTGTGCTGACTGACCCACTCCAGAAACACTGGCCAGGTTTTGTTTGTCTGGAGTCAGCAGGAAGTCAAACAACAAACAAGGGGAAGCAGGCCACTGTTGAGGGAAAAAAAAACAGTGATGTGCTCTGCTGTGGTCTGGGGAGCGGGAACAAGGAGAGTGGCAGTGGAGTGCTGGCCGCTGATTAGAAGCCATCCAGAGCCAAGCAGATAAGAGAGAATGGACATCATAATCAGTTGCCACAGAGAAAGACAGAGAGAATGGAGTTCAGTTCAGGCGGAAAATGAAGAAGGAACATTGTCAGGTTGTCTTTGTGTGCTTCCCACTTTGGCCGAGAAAATATAGTTTCAGGGCTAGCATGTGCAGAGATAAGTCAGAGACTGATAGAAGCTCCAACAACACCACACGCCCCGCATGTGTTCCTCTCTCTCTCCACCTCTCTTCTCCCCCATGGCCTTGCATGAATGAGGGCCACAGAAACGGCTGCTCTCCAACCCACCCAAGGTCCAATCAGAGGGCTTGTTGTATCCACAGTCCTCTCAACATGAGCCAATCAGATAGGGGTGGCCTGGGTGCTGTCCACAGGCATAAAGAAACCAGAGTAATGGCTGCCGCTGCCACTGCTGGGCTGAACAAAGATCTACATCAGCCTAACCGCAGGTTCTAATGCCGCCTTGATGAGACATGAAACAGTCAATCACAGGAGCTGTATGAATCTGCCAGATTTTAGCAAAACAAATGCTGCTGATAACCACTCTTCATCAAGTGGATGTACTGCACTGTGCTCTGGCAATGAAGTTAAAGTTTTATGTACTCTCTTCTCCATCACCTTCAGTCCATAAGAGGCTGACAAGATATCAATGGAGGGGAACATTTTTACTCAAAATAAACGAGTTGTGTCTGCAAGGACTGCAGGCCAAACCATAAATTGTGTGAATCATATCAAGGTCAGAGTTTTAAATATATAACTGTAGCTGCCTTATTGCAGAGTAAAAAGGGCAGGTTTTATGAATTAATCTGTCTCACCTCTTCGCTGAATCCTATTTTGAATCACTAAAAGCCCCTGTCAAAACCGTCTGCTTGAATTAATGATCGCTAATGTCAACCGAGCCAGGAGTTTGGCTGCGGCCCATCCCTGGGTCGTGCTGACACACAGTGCAGGCTGACAATTGCCAGCTTCGGAAACCTGTTACGATCCAATCCATAATTTTATAAACACACTCTTAAATGGTCCTGACGCAATGGCAAAGATGTAATCAATCAGAGCATGTGCCTTAAGCAGAGACCTATGACAATCAAAAGTAGCACCATGAGGTGTAATACAGTAGAGCTACCAAAAAATACAAGAAGTAATGGATTTCTGAGCTGTCGTCCTGCTGAACCCTAATGCTTTGAATATCGACTTGTCTTCATGGCAGGTTGGTTTATTATTACCCACCACGATTTCCCTCAGGATTCCCTTTCCATTAACCAAGGGACAATCCTAGCCTGGCTGAGTGATGAGATTTGGGAACAGGTACAAAAGGAAAGAATTAGGTTGCCCTCCTGCACAGGGAGCCGAGACCGGAGCTCACACATGCAGAACGGACACAAACAAGACAGGGAATGAGAATGTGCTGCAAGACAAAGTAGCAGACAAAGAAATTGGGTGACAGCGGTAAAAGAAAAGGGGATTTAAATCTGTGTATGTGTTTGTTGGGAGGGGAGGGTTGTGCACGAGGGCATGTACTCTACATATCTCATGCCCACTGTGTGTCTCTGTTGATTCTGCTGCTTAGCATGAAAGTCGTTTGGGAGCTTCTCAAAGGGGAAATAACTGCATGGACAGCCAGGCCCGCCGGTCTCCAGGGTGCGCTGAGGGAAATGTGTTGGGCCCTCAGCCATAGGGCTCACACCCTCAGGGGAGAGGACCTTCACTACAAGTCATAGTTGAATACCAAAAAGAAATGTGCTACAGCTTTTTGAGCAAGGCCTCCAGATGTTCCATTCAGCAAGGAAGAGGGCCTTTGTGAGTTTTTTTTTTTTATGGGCACACTTGTTTGTGTTTGTGGTACCATGCATTTTCGACAGCCATCCATCCTTCTCTCCCTTCGCCGTAAGAGGGAGCGGTATCAAGCCCTATTGTTTCTATTCAATTAGCTGTCATTACGAACGGCAGTTTGATTACTGAGTTCATTTGGCTGCTGGAGAACAATGCAGGCAGCAAGCTGTCTTTTCATTCACCCTGCCACCAATATTGTCTCTCCTGCTGGAAGGAATTAAATGGGGCTTGTCTGTGAGGGATGAGGCGTACGCTGCAAAACCAATGCCTCGCCTTATTCTTCTGGACGACCTGATGTCCACAAACACCAGAGGACATAGAGCCAGGAGGGGCGGATAAAAAGGGAACAGCGTATTCTTGAGCGATTAACAACCTGGGCGAGCAGCAGGAGAAGACAAATGCAGAGTTACATCGATTTCACTATTATAATGAGCACCATTCAATCATGCCAAATCCACAGGGGCCCTACGAGCACCATTAGGAGGTCAGCGCCTCTGAATGGCACTGGCAACAACAATCCATAAATGATCTATTTAATGTACTGATATAAAAGAAAGGGACATTTCACAAATTGACATCTGAGTGCTTTCCCAGAATTTCCCAACCTTGCTCCACCATTTTGCTAATTAGGTTGTTTGCTAATTTTCCGGTCAGCAGTGGGGTTTTTTTCTTTCTTCAGCTGGGACTTAATTGTTTAGGCTTTTAGCAAGCCAGGGCTCTGTCTGAGCACTCACCTCTCTTGTTCCAGCCTCATCCGCAGGGTCTCCTCTTCTGACGCCTGCATGTCCTCAGCTTTAGATTTACTGGAGCCTTTCCTCTCCATCCTGTCTCCTGGCCGCTCATCCCTCCGGTGTTTTCCAAACCTAAGTAAAAGAGAAGGGCAGAGAGGATTTAATTGAGGCCCAGGCTTTAATAATTTCCAACCCAATATGGACTTTATTTTTTTACAACAGCATGTCTCTTTCTTTGTCCGGGAAATTCAGGTGAAATACTCAGTAGGAAATTAAAGTGTCAAACTGTCAAAATCTTCAGGTCGGGTTTGTACTGGGGAGACAGCTCAGGAGGAGTCTCCCCGGGTACCCATTCGTTATTGAAAGAATAACTTGGCCATTTTCATATAAATGTTATTAAAATGCATCAAGCCATATCAAAAGATAACTCAACATAGTGAATTCCCTCCTGCCACAAGTCTCCATCCAGGACAGCAGAAAAGATTCAGTGTGCAATGCTAAGAGTAAGTCTGAAAGGTAGAAAATGGCTACACTCCCCCTTTTTCAAAAGAGAGGATGAGCTCCCTGTTTCCTTCCTGAGCTGTAGAGTTTACTTAGAGTGATGGGAGCATTGACAGCTCATGATTTAGTTTTGAGTGAGGAGGGAACAAACTACCTGCAACCAGGAGAAATGTAAGTGCAGGAAACGGCCGAGCTCACTGGCATCATTTGTAACTTTTCAGGCAGCGTCGCAAACTTTTACATTTTAATGACGGGAGTGACACACCGGTGGCGGTAAATCCGTTACAGCTTTACAGCGAGGTGAGAATAAGCCAAGCCGATGATCGTAAATTCCCCTGGTCGGCTGAGCTTGGTGCCGGGCGAATAAATGACTGGAGACTGGAGGCTGACTGAGGGGTGTGAGAAAATGATGAGGGATGGAAAATAGCAAGGAGGCATGCATTTGACAGGGAGTACAGTAAACTCACAAACACACACACAATATATGGACAACTCTATTATGTGACTCCACTGGCTGAGACTTTATTACTCACAACAATGTGCTTGTGGATAACACTAAGATCAAACGCCAACTTTATTCATGAGCACAGAATTTGGAGAGAAAGGACAGAACAGGAAAGGCAATATCATGAAAATATGATGTCATTTCCTGCTGCTCCACAAGGGTGCCAGCTGTGGAGGAAATGCAAAACAGCAGGATACAGAGAGAGGAAGTATTACAGACAGATATCCAGGAAGTGCACCGGATGGTCATTTTGCACATGGAGATAGAGGCACATCTGTACACCATATACAACAGATACAATGTTATTCTATTTACTCTGACCCATGGTGTGTGGTTTTTGATACTGGCATGCAAAGCCGAATTATATGCAACCATTTGAACACCATGTTTCTTCACACTGATAACCTATGAAAACTAAGATTTCTTTAGGTAATTACAGTTTAGGGATTATTTTATGAATGAGGTGAGGATCTGCATAGAGATGAATGCTATAATTAAGGTTATTGTGGATTAAAAACCAGGGGAGGCGCTGGGGTCATCTCAGCCTTCAATCATTCGTTGCAGGGGGAATTGGGAGAGGCTCAATAAATACTATATGTGAAAACCAAATGGAGAGTCAAAATGTACTGTCTGATGGGTAAAGAGTTGTGATTGCTGAACACATCATAACATCATACATACTAGCCCCTCAACAACTGTTGGAAGACAAGTTGTGTGATGAATCTTGGTAAAGTTGAAGAGATTACATAAGGAAGGGAGTAGGGCTGTAACGGTTTGTGTATTCGTGCCAAACCATCACGGTATAGTGGTCATGGTCCGGTGCACGCAGCCGCATGCAGGTTAGCATAATGAGCGGTTTGGCGTGCGAGTCAGTCACTCTACAGCGAGATGAAATGTCGGACCGTTGTTCCCAGTCAGCTACAACAGCAAAGGACAGAGAGAGTTGTGGAAAAGACAAGGATGGCGTGTCAGCATTGCACCACCGTTGTGTAATGCATAAATGTTTGGGTACCTTTAATGTTTAAATGTAGCCAAAGTGGAACTAATTGAAAAACTCCTAGTTATGAATAAGTTTTATTTTTCAATATATATATATATTTATTTCATTATTATTATTATATAAGAGATACTGGGAAATAAGGAACATTTCAAAATTTCTGTACTACACTGTACAATACTGAACATTTTCCCAGAATGCAATAAGTCACAAAAAGCTATAAAACTGAAAAGTGTACCAAAGGTGCCAGTGGAAAAATGCTTCCTCAGTTCTCAGCAAGAGGATTTGTCTGTCTGACACTTTACACTGTCTGTTCAAAATAAATGAAAAGAAACACCCTTACGCAGTTGGTTTTCTTCCCTGCTGTACCGAACTTGTACTGAAACATGCCTCCTAAACTGGGGTATAAGCCGAACCGTGACTTCTGTATAACATTACAACCTTGGAAGGGATATCTGGGTAAAATATTCCTTGCAATAAAGCTGAACGTGTGTTCAGAAAAAAGTTTGGGCTCCCTGGTAGCTCACCTGGTAGAGCTGGTGCCCATGGGTTCAACTCTGACCTGTGGCACTTTCCTGCGTGTCATCCTCTCTCTCTCTCTCTCTCTCTCTCTCTCTCTCTCTCTCTCTACCTTTCCAGTCAATCCCCCCCGAAAAAAAGAAATTGCTGAAAGTGAACCACTTACATTAATTAAATTAATAGAAATGAGTGTGCATATATTTCGGGCAACCCATGTTGTTTGTACTACTGTCATATGTTACTAGTTTTAAATGTGATAACTGCAAACCTTTAACTTTTTATGAGCGTCAGATTGGTGAAAAGCAGGCCACTTTTATGAACAAATTTGATGATTGTAAAGACAAGGCAGTAACTAAAAGTGTATGGCCATGAGGGCATGTGGCCACAAGTGAGAAGAAATTCAATAAATATAATCACAGAAAATGACTATATTTTTATTGACTGTTTATATTACATTACGTGTATGTTCTTGCATTGTACACACAGACATTGATTATGATGTTTCTCATGGGCTTTTTTGAGCGGCCCCGTTCAATTTCAGACTGAGGAACAGGAGAAAGCATTAAGCTCTGCAGTCTCTCAGAGCCGCTGTGCTTCACTCCGAGTTTATTTTTACCTTCCTCATAGCTGAGCTTTATTTGACAGTTTGAAAACTTTCTCCAAAAGCTGAAAAAATTACATCAGACAAGGTTGACTTTGGGCCGGTAGAAGTGAATATATTCATGAAATGGGGAGACTGTTTCTCTCACGGATGTTTATTATTCTACTTTACATTAAAAGCAGCCAAGACCTTTGTTGAAATGGCTTCTCTTTGGTAGTGGCTGCATTGGAATTGTAATCTTTCGAATGCACTGTGGACTGGTAGGAGATCCTGGTTTGTGGTTGCAGAGAGCCCAGGCGAAGCCAAGGGAGCAATATCTGGGCTCTTTTGTAGCACAGATAGCATACATTACCTGATTAATTAATCAACAAATGGCTCTAGTAAGGCATAAAACTCTAGGCTGGGGCTGGGAATGCTAATAATAGTGAGCCTGCTATCTATCACCAGGGCAGGTGACAGCTTCCCTTGCCTCACTTCAAGGACTTTCATTAACTTCCTGAGGAAAATTCACCTTCCTCTTTTCCTCTTCCAATTTTTTCTCAGTCTCTTCTTACCCCGAGCCCCCCTAAAAAAAACATAAAATAACCTAAGGAGAGACAAACTTCTGCCCTCAACTTTTTTTTCTTCTTCTGGATCAACATCAATACAGTGAGGGATTTGTCATAGGGAAACATATTGGTGGATTAGACTGAGCAGGACCCTGGGCATGCAGCAGCTCCCATATGAAAGGCTATTCCCCCATCGCCGGTGGCCTAAGAAGGAGGGCCCACATCAAAGCGGAGGCGGAGGAAAGAAATGATACTACCAGAGCTATTAGAAGGCTATCGGGACACTTGCTGGTTCACTGACAACATGGCTCTGTCCTTCACTTGAACAGCCTCAGTCCTGCCAGTGGGGACCGTTGGTGGAACACAGGATTAGCCACCAGACCTCCACTGACGCACAAACCCCAATGTAATATTTCTACACTCAACATTTTCTCAGCAGGAAAAATACAAAACTCTGTGGTACCAGCGTGTGTACAAAAACTGCAAACTGTATTGACTTTCATACCTGTCTCTGGAAGATAAGTGTCTCATTTGTGAAACGAAGTGAATCCAATAAAAACTGTAATGATTTGGAGTTAATCAGTGTCAGGAGGGAAGAAGAAACTCAGCCGTTTCTGTAAAACTCTTGAGCCAGTATTGGCACCTTGGCATTAATCGGGGCTGGCATCAGGACAGTTGTATTGAGACTGAGGCTGATGAGCCTTGATAATAAGATATTGATTGGCAGCTGCAACTCTGGTAGAATGACAATGAATTGTGTACCTTGCAGTTTGGGAAAGAAAACTTATTTGGGCCCAAACTGATTAATCTTAACTCAAATCTTGCACTGACTTGTTTTTCCCCACTAAAACCATTAAATTTAAGTTCTGTAAAACATCTATTTGAAATGACTTGCGATGGTCGAGCAACAGCTGGACATCAAATCTTCATTAAACAATGATATGCCATTTACTTCTTCATAAAGCTTTGATATTATTTTTCTGCTTCAGTCCACTAGACCGAAGCTCTGTTTAATGGTCCGTTCATAAGCATCTATCTCACTGTGGCAAACAGTACGTAAGAGTGATGAATATACAAATGTAGAGGTGCCCTCAAAAGATGAAGAACGGAACGATGGCAAGGAGAGATGTAGATCGAAAAAACACCTGGGTAGAAAGACATTCAGTTCAGATTACATGAGCAACAACAACAGCTGAGTAAGTTGCAGATTTGATTTGTAGGATAGTGATATGCCTGCAGAATCCAGATAGACACAGGGAATATTTATGAGCGTTAGGCTGCGTTCAAAGCTTGAGCTGCCCTGCCCTATTCATCACCGCTTGGTCCCGATAATGTCTGATTGGCCATCAAACTGCATTTGGGTGGTATGTAATCTAACATGTGTCAGTCATATATAATATATGCTTTATTTATGTTACACTATGTCCACTGATGCAATGAAACATTAAGAGTATAATCTAG